CGCGCTTATCGACGGCGGGCGCTTCGAGATATTCCCTCGCATCGACGCACGCCCCTGCTCCGCCCCTTGGGGGCGCTTTCTCGTTTTCTAGCGTGCTGTTAACATTTCGGTACGCGCGCCACTTTGCCCGGCCCCCCGCCTTTGATCGCCTCCATCCGCCGGCCCGCAGTAAAACTTCACCCCCAAGTCCGGCGCGGAGCGCACCATCGACCTCCCCCCGCGGCTAATGCTGCTTAAGGGGTAGGATTGTTTTAAAATATTTTTAGGGGTAAAAAAAAATTATTAAAAAATCAGGCCGCGGACTCGGCCTCATGGGCTGCGCCCGCGACCGACTTTTTCTGCCGCAACGGCCGATATGCCCGTGGCCTAGGCTGCTGGTGTCACATAGGAACTAGGCGGTCCACGAGGGCATCCACACGAAGAAGCGCAATCAATTGGTCTTCGAGAAGGTCGCCCATCTTTTTGAGATCACCGCAAACGTGCGGTTGGTGGAGTATAGACGTGCAGGTTGTGGATATGTCCTCCCTTGGCAGCGAGGCGAGGGTATATTTGACGCTCAGGCGGGATTGGAGGTGGAGCATGTGTGGTCGGGGACGAGGAGTGGGATGACAGAGGAGGAGATCGAGGAGCAGGCTGCCCTCATTACGCGCGATCCTATCAGGTCCTCTGGGCCGCCCGCTGTTGAGTCTGTTTTCGGTGCTCGTGTGGCTATCTTCCGTCCATACCCTAGGGAGGATGCCTCTAACGACGGGAGGCAGCCGGAAGCAGCGGACGACCCCACGCTTCCTATCCCGTGCAAGATTGACGAGTTGCACGAAGAGGGCAACGAGGATGACGAGAGGGCACACACCGCGTGGGCGGTGGCAAAGCAGACAAACATAGAGATGATGGGGGGGAAGGAGGAGTTTTGGGGGTCATTCAGGGACATGGAGGAGAGATCACTCAGTACTGCGAGGGAGCATACTCCTCCTTGCGTGACCTTGTGTGAGGAGACGCCTGCTCCCACGACTGCAAGGGAGGAGCCGCGTCCTACCACGACAGCGCCGGGGCGGACAACTGTTCCCATAACCGCGCAGGAGCAGGCGCCTGCTCCCACGACCACGTGGGAGCAGACTAGTACTCTCGCGATGCAATTCGGACCCTCGTCTCCGTTGCCTCTTCCTCGTGATTCAATTGGACCATCCGCTCAGACGGCTCTCATTCGGCATGCTAAGCGCTCAGCTGCACCGGTTGGGAGGGAGGACTTGGGATCCTCGTTGCACATGCGCGGGCATGGATCGTTGTTTAGTGTAGCCCGTCATCTCGTTTTGGAGCCGCATGCATTGGGGGACTTGGGGAAGGAGGGTGTTCACAACGGGGCACTAATGGTGGAGGAGAGGGAGAGACGAGCGGAGGAGCACGGAGCGGGTGGAGTTGAGGGTATTCGGGGTATGGAGGAGGAGGTAGCTGGAGTAATGGGAACGGGGTTGTCGTCTACGCTAGAGGAGAGAGCAGGGGGGATGATAGAGCGCAGGTTAAGAGAGAGGGGGGCGTCATGGACGTGGATGATGGTACGCAGGTCGAGAGTGAGGAGGCCATGATGAGGGTGCATGATGGTGAGCAGGTTGAGAGAGAGGAAGGCATGCTGCCGACGCAGGTTGAGAGAGAGGAGGACGTGGTGAGGACGCAGGTTGAGAGAGACGAGGATGTGGAGAGGGTGGATGATAGTGCGCAGGTTCAGAGGGAGGAGGGTGTGGTGGGGGGGCAGGTAGAAAGAGAGGAGGACGTGGTGAGGACGCAGGTTGAGAGAGAGGAGGACATGGCAGGGGTAGATGACGATTTGCAGGTTGAGATAGAGGAGGACGTCGTGAGGGCAGATGTTGGTGCGTTGGTTGAGGGAGAGGAGGGCGTGGTAGGGGGGGACGTCGCCCATGGCAGAGGAGAGGGAAGTGACAACCTTGACCCAATCGTCCAACATTTTATCGCTGACGAGATGGGTCTCTCACTAGAGGGTTTGACCCCGGGCATGATGATGGCACTGGAGGCATCGCCATCAGGAGGGAGGGAGGCTTCAGGGATGAGGATGCGGGATTTCATGGAGATGTCTTTGGGGGATCCTCCCAGCCCTTGTCATGCAGAGAGAGAGGATACGACACGTGCCCTAGCGGTTGCTGGCTACTCATTAGAGGAGATCGAGCAGGCATTCACGGGGTGCGAGGAGGTATGAGAGCAGCCTCAGGAGGAGCGTGAGGATGCGCTCGCTGCAGATATCCCCAGAGGTAGCAGTTCATTGGTAGGGTTTACGGGGCTGCAGATGACGACGACGACGAGGCCGGTTCGACCATGTGTGCAGGGGTTAGGTCCAAAGGAGGTGGCATCTGTTGAGGTACCACTGGTCGTAGTGGTGGATTTAGGATCCGAGCCACTGCTTAAGACACCGGTTACTAGGCGACGAGCTCCTCAGGATACAACTTGCCCATTGGATGTGGCGGAGCTCGCGTGGGCTGTTGTGCTTGACGTCACACGGCAGGAGGACACCGACCCACGCAGACCACTCATGCCGCCTCCTCCTCCGAGATCACATCACGATGATTCACCCTCGACACCAGTCCGTCCAACCCCCCGCTCACCATCCACGCCCGGCAGACCCAGGGTTCGTGACACAACATGAGTATGAAGCCTCCCTCTTGACACGTCGCTATTCGGGAGGATGAATATCAACCTGGACTCCACTTGTCGGGTCACAGTGCACACTGCACGACGCTAACCACGTTTGGGTGGGGGTGACATCGGGAGGGGTGAGGCGAGGGAGGTCATGGCGGCAGTTTCTCAGCCGCGACATGTTCGTGGCCGTGGAAAGGCCGACTCTACCTTCCACCACGCTTTGGCAGCAGCAGCAGCACGTGTTGTGCGTGACCAGACATTTCGCAGGAGGGGAGCAGCTTGTCCACGTCCAGTGCCTGTGGCGGGGGGTGCCGCATTGGGGTAATCTTCTGGAGCTGAGGGGTTAGGGATGCCACGCCGTTAACGTCGTGAGAAGACAGTCGCACAGGTGACTGAGGTGAGTACTAGGGTTGTTCAAGTGAGGAGGGGGGCTGACCCTGTCACCGTAGAGGAGGACGATCCCAAGATGGAGCCGGCACATGAGGAGGACCCGCACGAGGACGACGAGTATAGGGAGGACCAGGACAGTGAGGAGGAGGAGAATGACAACGAGGAGGACGACAGCTAGTACGACAACGATAACGAGCCCTCCCCTCCACCATGTCGTGGTTCCGGTAGCCGACAAGAGGAGGTTCAACCGACGAGACGGTGTGGTTGGAGTGGACAATGCGACGACCTCGACGATCCGTCCCCTCCAGGGCGGCGGGGCGAGGGAGTGTTTCATCGACACGCAACGCGGGTGGGGAGAGGCGGAGAGGCAGTGGTAAGGGGAAGGGAGGTCGATGGTCTTGACAACTTCATTCCCCTTCCATATCGCCTTTCTGTTGTTTGTCCATCGACGTTCTCACCGTTTTGTACATTGTTTAGGATGATGTACATTTAGTTAGGTTTTAGGCACTTAGGACCAGTTTCTGGACTTTAGTATGTAGGTAGTGTCCTAGAGATTTTTTTTTTTTTACTTTTTTTGTTCAAGTACGGCGTTTTCATTTTTTTTTTTAGTTATTGGGTTTACGTTTGAGGTGGGACTTCATTGCGACTCGTCGTATTACGTAGATGCTTGTTTTGGTTTTCTTTTCAGATTTGTTAGTTAGCGGTGACCATGATCGTACGACTCCATATGAGTGTCGATGACACATTGTATCATGTGACATTTATTTCATATTGGACTCGTATATGCGATCTCGGCATGACTTTCGTATGAGATTTCATGACTACTTTGTTTTCATTGTTCTTCCATGTTCTTCTGTGTGTGTGTGTGTGTGTGTGNGTGTGTGTGTGTGTGTGTGTGTGTGTGTGTGTGTGTGTGTGTGTGTGTGTGTGTGTGTGTGTGTGTGTGTGTGTGTGTGTGTGTGTGTGTGTAACGGTACGCCATGTGAAAAAAATATCATGTCGAAAAGGGATATGGTACTCCATACCACAATCAAGCCCCGAAACAATGCATCAACTAGCATTTCGTTAAAATTGACATTTTTTACTATTTTCACGAAATTGGGCATCCTAGAAAAAATTGAGTTTTTTAGTGTGCTTTTGTGCCCACGACATCGGACCATTGATGGTCCGGCGTCCTCGGGACTCCGGACCATTTGATGTATTTCATCGTAAAGTACCGTCAAAATACATCTGAGGGTCAAAAAAAAAATAAAAAAATTGAGGCATATCAGATGGTCCGGCGTCCCCAGGATGCCGGACCATCAATGGTCTAATGTGGTCGGCGAAAAAAAATGCCAAAAAATACTGTGTTTTTTTTGCAAGTTCAGTTTCGTCAAAATAGTAAAAAATGTCAATTTTAACGAAATGTCTATTCATCGGCGTGTCCCCTTAAGATTTTATCAGCCGAACACAGGATTTCACAAACCCTTCCCTATCCATTTCAAGGGGACCATATGAGATTCTACAGGGTATTTCAATCAGTCCAAGATGTGTAAAGCACCGACCAGGAGGAAGTTTTGCTCCTTAAAACAAATGGAAAATTCATTGCCTTCAAACAATTGTGAACACGACTCAATGCAGTAAAAAAGTTCTATTGGCGGTTTTGGGAAGAGTAAATGCACATAAGAAAACAATTGACTAATTAGTGGAGAAAACATAAATAATAACAACAAAAAATACATGTATAAATATAGCTGCGAAGGAAATACGACAGAGCGTAAACACCGTCGTTGTTTTCGAGTTCGACGTTTTTCGGGCATTACGATAAATAAAAAAAAATCGTAGTTATTTATATCGAGCTCGGTGATTGGGCTTTGAGGCTGTTGGCTATGATCTTTCATAAGCAAATGGAGAGTGAGAATCATCTGATTAAATTATCTATAGTATCGGATTATTTGCGGATTTAACTCATGGATCTTGGCGTAGTGATAAGTAGATGCAAATGTTCGTACTTAAATTATCGCGACGGTTTGCAATCGCCGAGGGCATTGTCCAATCAAAGGAAGTACGAAAAAGGGTAGCGGAGAATCATCGTACATATATCGCACGGAAGAGAATTCAAGATCCGCATCGTTCTATTCTAGAAGGTCGAAATGCTCATGTCGTGTTCATTATCAAGTTCCCTATATATCTATCTCCCGCAAAGACGTGTGACAATCTGAGATCAAATCATTCGATATAAATAAGAAGGGTGCGTTCGTAAGTGACTAGCCAACTTTGATCGCAAAAGGAATTACAATGAATGGATCATAGGTTTTTTTTAAGAGATGCTACGAAAACTACCCACAAAACTCTTTAATGTTTATTCATCCTACATCTTTCCAGTCAAGGTGAAGGAGACAGCGACTACTTAACGTTATTAAAACAATGCAGATCGTAAGCATTATTTCGTTAATCATGATTGAATCTGGGCGCGGATGCAAGCAATCGCAAGTAAGGGTATCGCGCATGAGTTTGAGCATGACCCCTATCGCAGCGAAAGTTTGTAGACATCACTTCGGGTAAGATTGGGTCATAGTATTCCATTCAAATAAGTAAAAAAGTACAAAAGCAAGAAAATAAAATAAAAATATAATAATAAAAAAAATAAAATAAAAAAATAAATGGTAAAAACGCAGACACAACATGTCATTCATCGACGAATAAAGCAAGAGTTCATCCAATCGAGAAGTATACTGGAGAAGAAGGCGGGGTAAAAGAGAAGGATGATAAATTCTCACAAAATATAGAAAAATCAATAAATGACTCATGAAAGATTCAAATAGTTGCGAGCAAACAAAACTTCTTTAATGGGCGCTTAACTGACTTGATGATCCCCAGTTCATCCTAAAAAGCAGAATGCAAAACTATCAGAACTATAACACCGCCTGCATTCCCAGAGGCGATTCCACGTAATACGGGAATAGGCCACGACAACCAAAGCAGGGAGGGTAGTGGCGATCCCTGAAGCACTTTTCTGCCGCTAGCCACTAATGCACGGCTTCGTCAGAGGGTTTACAGTGCTAGACCCTAAACTGCCGCCAGCCACTAAACCTTACACCTGCTTAGTTATAAATGCTTCAACAGCTGGGGCACGAAGGACGACAACAACGTTTGCAGATGATGCAAAAAGGCCAAGAGTGCTAGAAAGGCGAACAGAGCAAGGAAAGCGAGAAACACGAAGGCCGAGGTCTCTACCGCTAGCACAACTCTCTCCTCCATGTCCTCCTTTTGAAGCGCCATGGAAAGAAGCGTAAGCAATCTAGAAAAAAATGCACGTACCAGCCGCATGGGAAAACGAAGAGCGTGCGCATGATCACAAAGTGAGCAACATATTACTACCAGTCTTAGATAACCGGGAGGCTTGCGCTTCTGAGCAATCGAATGACACCACGACAACATATGGCAGCATGCAGAAGCAGAGATGAAGAGTTGTGCCTATGAGTGAGAACGCAGAGGATTATACCACATTGTCGGGGTTGCGGATCAGTTAGTCCACCATAGTCGAGTCCACTTCGTAGTCCATGGTCGTCGTCCTCATAGGACTTGAGCGTCGCAGCTTCTGAAGTCGTCACCGTAAACACCAAGCGATGCAAGTGGAAACAGTCCCGCACTTGAAAGGTCGTACGCACGTCTTCGGCCAAACAGTACGTATGCTCAGTGAAAGCTGGATGGGAGACAACGGGGCTGTGTCTCATTCCAAAATAGTCCCATCAGTTCATCATTATTCAAAGTTTACTCGGGTCCAGCGCAAAAACCCTTGGCGCATGACTCTGAACCTCGCAAAAAATTCGAAAAAGGGAAAAAAAAAAAAAAAAAAAAAAAAAAAAAAAAAAAAAAAAAGGGAGGAAAAAAAAAAAAAAAAAAAAAAAAAAAAAGGGGA